TGAAAGTGCACCGTGTATAAAGTTATTGTCTCTCAAAAGAAAGAGTCGACTCTGAATCATTGAAACGAGTCGTTTTTAAAACGAATCTCAAGCCATTTCATTTTGACGTCAACATGAAACATTAGCATATTTCCCGCCCACTTGTTGGTCTTTTCCCGTTGGTCTGAATAAAAATGCTAATTCATTCTTTGCCAATAGGTGCCGCTTTTGGAGCGGTAAAAATAGTGGTTTCCCCGGTAACGCTGTACACAAAGCAGCACTGTGCTCACAAACGCTGCTTTATCAGGCATTACAGTCAGGCATGATGAAATGAAAATGAGACCGACCGGACCAATCACTGCAGATTAGCGTCACCGAGATTAGTATGAGTTTGTTTCTTCATCAGATTTGGAGAAATGTAGCATTGCATCAGTGTCTCAGCAATGGATGCTCTGCAGTGAATGGGTGCCGTCATGCACTTTTTCACTGGAGGAAGCCTTATTATGGATTATGGACTCATAATTTAGTTAAAAACATCTTATTTGTTTCAGCTTTTGTCTTCTCCAGATGTTAACTGATGGACTGGAGTGCTGTGGATTACTTGTGGATTATTGTGATGTTTTTATCAGCTGTTTGGACTCTCATTCTGACGGCACCCATTCACTGCAGAGCATCCATTGCTGAGACACTGATGCAATGCTACATTTCTACAAACCTGATGAAGAAACAAACTCATCTACAGCTTGGATGGCCACATTTCAGCACGTTTTCATTTTTGGATAAACTATTACTTAACTTTTGTCAGCAAGTCCAAAGCTTATTCAGTTTTTCTCTAAAAATGAATACGTCATTATCGTCACACACAATGACAGAGTTGAAGGTAAACAAAATGCCATATTAGAGCAACATTACAGTAATATTAGACTTTATTACGACTTTTACAAGGAATTTGTCATCATGTTGCTGAGATATTGTGATTTTATTTGTCATTTGGCACTGATAGTGAATGAAATCGTGAGGTTTTGCGCACATGAAAGCACTGCAGGAGTCGTGCGATCCGTGTGTTGTGTGAGACTGACCAGCGGTGTGTGTGTGTGTGTGTGTGTCAGGAGGCTCTGGAAGCGTGTCAGACGCGCGTCTCTAAGATGGAGCTGCAGCAGCAGCAGCAGCAGGTGGGTCAGCTGGAGGGCCTGGAGAACGCCACGGCTCGCACACTCATGGGCAAACTCATCAACGTGCTGCTGGCTCTCATGGCCGTGCTGCTGGTCTTCGTCTCCACCGTCGCCAACTGTGTGGTGCCGCTGATGAAGACACGCAGCCGCTCCGTCTCCTCGCTGCTGGTCTTCCTCCTGTTTGCTGTGCTCTGGAGGAACTGGGACGCTTTCTCAGGACACACCTCTCGCCTCCTGCACGTGCCCCGATGAGTGCACAGAAGACATGCTGGTTTCAGACCATTTTGCACAGTTTTTCCCTTTTTAATGCCTTTGGAGCATTGCTCTGGAATGAGATTAATATTAATATTATTCATATTTCTAATATAATTTTAGCTGAAAGTAGCAGTAGCTCACACAAAAATGAAAATGCTGTCATCATTTCCTCAGTGTTGTGAGTAATGTTAAACTCCCGTATGCTGCTATTTTTTCTGATGAACACAAAGGGAGAAATGTTGAGGTCCTAGTGACTCAGAATGATGAGGAACATGTGAATGAACAGAAAGGGTGAACTGAGCTGCTCTAAAACTTCTCCTCCTGTGTTCAGCGAAAGAATAACATCATACATGTATTAGATATGAGGGGGAGTGAGGCGAGTGTTTGGTCGGAGCGTGTGTTCATCGGTCTGACTGAAGTGATGATTTGAGCTGGTTTCACGGCGTCTGAAGGAAGACTCAAGCCTCAGACATCATCCTCTGCTTTCATTACTCTCATCATTTTCTAGAGGTCAAAGGATGTTGCTGTTTGCTAGCATTATCTGACGTAAAACACTGTTAAATGAAGTATTAATTTATTGAATATTGCACCGCCTTACTGGACCTGTGACAGACAGCAGAGAAAGACAATGACAGTAGTAGCTGTGACTGCTTATTCATAATGTCTGTAATATCACAGTGCAGTGTTTCTGATCTGGTGTTTTGGCGTTATGATGGAGAGGGTTTTGTGATGATCTGTAGGTTCTTATGTCTGCTGTAGTGAATGATGGATCAGGATTCAGGACTGTTCTTATGAATAGAGACGCTTGTGTGTTTGATCATAAGCTGGACTCAAGCTGACCGAAGCTCCTCACACCTCCACTCGTGTGTCATTCAGATCTTATGAACTGTTAGCACAGTCGTCTAACTGTACAGTAATAAGGTTTAATAGTTCTGTTTCAGTCATTTAATAATCCTCAGGGGAAAGTCCTCTGCTGAAGCTGTAGTGTGTGTGTGTGTGTGTGTGAGAGAGAGAGAGATTTTAAACCGTTCTAGTGCCTTCACAACTCTTGATAACTTTTGTAATAAATCCTCGCTGCTGGTCTTCCTCCTCTTCGCCGTGCTCTGGAGGAACTGGGATGCTTTCTCAGGACACACCTCTCGCCTCCTGCACGTGCCCAGATGAGCGCACAGAAGACATGCTGGTTTCAGACCATTTTGCACAGTTTTTCCCTTTTTAATGCCTTTGGAGCATTGCTCTGGAATGAGATTAATATTAATATTATTCATATTTCTAATATAATTTTAGCTGAAAGTAGCAGTAGCTCACACAAAAATGAAAATGCTGTCATCATTTCCTCAGTGTTGTGAGTAATGTTAAACTCCCGTATGCTGCTATTTTTTCTGATGAACACAAAGGCAGAAATGTTGAGGTCCTAGTGACTCAGAATGATGAGGAACATGTGAATGAACAGAAAGGGTGAACTGAGCTGCTCTAACCTGTCTGTGTGTGTGTGTGAGTGAGTTGTTTTAAACCACTCTAGTGCCTTCAAACACATCTCTCGATATCTTTTGTAATAAAGTTCATTTCTGACTAGAGCTTTAGTGTGCATAAGCTTCATACTTTATTACAATTTAAAATGTTGTCAATCCTAATTTCAGGAAACACTAAAGAAAGTTTAGAAAACATGAAATTATGAGAATACAAAATAGACATATGGGTAAAAACAGGAAAACAATTAAGTCCCATCCAGATAAAGATATGCCTACACATAATCCAGATAAAGTCCATCTTCCTTTAGGCTGGCGTCAGATCCAGACCGTCCCCAGCGTAGGACCTCATGTGGTCTCCGTAGTCGTAGCGGATCTCTTCGCCCGTCTGAATGTCCCGTGTGGCCATGAAAAGTATGACCGGGTCATCCTCCACAAAGTGCAGTCTCGGACTGAGATTGCTGCGTTTGGCCGAGTGTTTAATTTGTCTGCCAAACGTAGATTTGTTTGGATGTCAGTGGCAGCGCTCCTCGTGAGCATCCAAACACATGCCCTGTCCGTTCTTGCTGGTGAAGAAAAACAGATGTCCAGCTTGTGCCTCAGTGTTCTGGTGGATCTGCAGTCCCTCGTCCCTGGAGACCAGCCGGCCGTGGAAGTCACAGATCAGCTCTCCGCACACAAACGGCCTGCTGGTGACCACACCGAGACCCTTGCCTTCTCTGTCCATCAGCTGCAGGCCTTTCCAGCACTGCCTGCGGCTCATCCGACGGATCGATTCATCTGTCGGTGCCTGGATGCTTCGTGGAGGCTTCCAGTCCTTCATAACTTCAGCAGCATCTGGCACGTTCTCCATCCATCCCTGCTTCTCCATCCAGCTGTGCACTCTGCTCTCAGATGGCTGACGTGGACCAAAGGTATCTGCAGAAACTAGATGATATTAACTGTGCACGTGACTTCCAACAGTGGACAGTGTGTAAGTCTTGTTGAAGCATTTGTCTCACTGTGTCTAGTGTTTAATGTTTGTCTTTATGAAGAAATTCTCAACTGTCTGGCCAAAATATGTTGCATATTTCAGGACGACGATGCTGAGATTCATCAGGCTCAAAATGTGGAAGTGTGGTTCAGGGAGCATGAGGAATCATTTTCACACTTTTCGACAATGTCTCATATACATAAGCAGGTGACCTAATGAGCCTTGTGGTACACCATAAATTTTTTTTTTTTTAAGTATACAAATTTTGAGAAAAAATGATGGGTAAATGTTTTGCCATGCAGTATTGTAATTTTTTTTTTTTTGGAAAAAGTATTGAAGCACACCAAATTCTAGCAAACAGATTACAGTTAATGATCTAAAGTTAACCTCTTAAATGCTCTCCAGATGCTTGTCTCATATATGCTATCATTTAAGCTTAACACCATCACTTCTGAATTTGTTACATAAAATAATTAACTAAAGCATTATAACATATTATTTACAAATAATTTGAGATTTTTTTTTTGGTCTGCTTTATGAAAAATCAGGACATTTTAGCACCTTTGGAAATTTGAGAAAGTTGTACTTGTTGGCAAATTTGGAGACTCTAACTCTAGCGCCACCAACTGTCCAAAATTGCACTTATGTTTATGCTAATAACTTAACTATGAGGACTAGGAACTAAACTTGTCCCCTCAAAAGTCCTTAACTGCTGCCCGCTTGCAGCTATATTTTGCAGCAAGTGTTTGAAATTAGTGTGTGTGTGTGAATTTGAGTCTGAACATTTGCGAGTGGCAGCCCAAAGATGCACAATAGTTTAAGTAGGGCCAAGAGGAAACACATGGCTGAGCTTTGGACAGAATTTATCTTCTTTTTTTCACACAATAATAAATGAACAAATTGAAATGAAGTATGATTGCTTTAATAAAACTCAACCCCTGGGACATAAAAATGTCAGAGCTGATGTAACACCCAGATATGGAATATGAGTTTTGTATTTATGAATGAACGAAAACCAAGGACAAGACGCTGACGGAGTTTCTTTTGAGTGGCGCACCAAAGCGGGAGGCAGTGACTCTCGTATTTCCTCGAGATGTGCATTCGAGCAGCTTTATCTGGAGGCGCTGCTGGCACCGTTTCTGGATGCGACATCTTCAGCAGGTAAAAAGCTGCGTTCGCATTCATCCATATGGGCTCAGGCTCTTCAGCTGGACTAAAGAGACGAAAGTGCACATCTCAGTGAGGATACTTAAATGATTGAGAACAGGGTGGATAACATACAGTAGAAGCAGCAGCAGGACTGAGGTTTCTCCTCAATGCCTGTCGAGTAGGTGAAGTACTTCAAGAGTTTCTCCTCATCTGACAAATCACTGTTCTGTCTGGCAGTGTGTAGTTCAATAGATCTGGCCATGTTGCTGCTGATGCTTGGGAGACCGTACCTGCAAAACAGAATGAAACACGGTTTTGCAAATAAATAAAATGGGGGGGGGGG